AATTTGATTTTTGGAATATTTTTATTTATAAAAACTGCAAATAAAAATTTTGGGGAAAAAAACAAAACAAAGGTGGTCAATCTTATTTTCTATTTCCTATATTCTCCCTAGTTTTAATTTTTTAATTTCCTAGAACTTAAACAAAACTCCAATTTTGATGCATATCTCTTGATAATGAACCAATGCTACTGAAATAGTGAGTATGCTTGTTAGAAAAATATTCTTGTCATCAGATCTCAGTTAGCTTCATTGCAGCTGAACACCGTTTTACACTGAACATCACATCAGCTGGTGGACATAAATACAGTACAGTAATATTATATTCACAAAATACTAACAATATGTTCATCTTACTGTGAAAAGTTACCCCCCGAGACCTGACGTCAACAGTCTGTCGATTAGAACAGAAAGAAGCTGCGAAGTGCTGTGAGTTCACGAGAACTCATTTTCTAGAGACCTGTTTAGGAGCAGATGGTGGGGGTTGAGTGCCTTGCTCAGGGGACCAGAGTGGGGCCAATGAGGGTGGAGGCAGGTGTGGGTGTTTCACCTTTTCCACCCACATTTTGATGTTGACTGTACTGGGAGTTGAACCTGTGACTTTCCCATCACAGGCCCATCTTCTAACCTCTGCTCCACCACTCCCCCCATAACATCATATCATAATGGTCATGGTCGTATTAAAATCTCACTGGTTTCCTTCCAGATGTGTTAAACAGCTGCTGGTCCCCCCTGATGTTTACAGGTGGCTGTGGTCAGTGGATGAAAAGCCTGGCATGAACAAGATGATGCTGGAGATCATCATTTGATGAGAGCTCCCACCTTCTAACTGTGAAGAACAACAGCAGCTCAGTGATTCCCTCAAGGCTCAGTGAAGGTGCTGAGAGCTGCAGAGAGGCTGATTCATGGAGCTTCAACACAGCAACCTCCAAACATGTCCACCCTCACACACATCGTCCATGAAGAGACTGGACCAGAGCACAAGATAATAAGACAGTGATAACAATGACAACAATACACATTCACAAATGATTCATACAATTTTTTATTGTTTGTTTGTTTTACTATTGAAAAACAGTTTGTTATCCACTGTTGTCATCACTCTGTTAAAATCCAGGTCTCTCTTGTAAACGAGTCCTTGTGGTTCAATGGAACTAACCTGTATCAATAAAGGTTGAATGAATATAAATATATACATAA